CCAAGGTTCATCTACGCCACCTCACGCTCATCCACTCACCGTGGTCCTCCCTATCAACAGGACACCTTGTCAACGAGACAGCAACAACCTGGCTTCACCTCAGGATGCAAACAATGGTACGACATCCACAAGCTCTGTAGACATTCTATGGATAAGTGTCACGCGAGGTTAGCTAAGACATCGCCCACAATACCCCAAGCGATTGTCGCCAAAATTCCATCCACATCCACACCATCATCCTACATTGATCTCCTACAGGCGCTACATCCATCCACTTCCTCACCTAATACAGGCCCGGTAGCTACCTCGTATGTCACTCAATCGGGTATAAAGTCTAACTCTTGGATTTTAAATTCGGATGCTACACATCATCTTACGTTATCACAAGCACACCTTGACAACCAAACACCCTTTATCCCACAGCCATGGTCCGCACAGCTGATGCCACACCACTACCCATGACCTCTTTAGGTCACATGCATATTAAGCCTCAATTCTCGATCCTCAACGTACACCATGTCCCAAATGTCACAATGAACTTATTTTCAGTCTCACAAATCACCTCACATAACTATACTGCTACCTTCACAGCCTCATCTTGCCTCATACATGATTCTCGTATGGGACAAAGGTTGGGACTGGCCATAATATCGATGGCCTATACTACATGGACAAGCTCATCCTCCCTGTGATGCCCGAGGTTTCACGCGAGGTTGTAGTCCAAGGAGAAACCCAGAATGTCAAACCTGCCAAGCACCAAACACTATGCTACGACATGTTTCCCCATCACAATTACTATCTCTCTAGTGGAAACAACAAATAGGTGAAGGTACAGACATGCAAATAAAAGAAATAGAGTAAAGCCAGATATACACAGAGGAAGCATGAGAATAATCATCAGTGAGCCCAACTAAAATAGAGTAGAAATACCTCTGAGTCTGAAATAAACCTCAAGTACAATGAGTTAAATAAAATATCACTATGGCTCTCAGCCTCTACAAAATGAAATACAAGTCTAGAGTCTAAACATAAACAACTAACTGTGAAGTTCTGAAATAACTACTAAATAGGAAATAGCTAGATGGAATCTATGAGGAAATCACATCAACCTACGACTCTCCGTGCGCTTGCCTCGCTACCTGAAAGAGGGGGGGGGACAACGAGCATCAAAGCGCTATAGCGAGATCATCTCCACCTCTCCCCAGGGGAAGGGGTAGGAGTATATAGAAAATAGAGTTAGTACATATACATATGAAATCATTCATAAAATTCTAACTGGAAGTTAATATTTATGAAATCACAATACGAGAGTTAGTACGTCGAGCGAAATAATCCAAACAAGAAAACTCTCATGTATATACCATGTCTCAAATTATGACTCACTAAATACTAACTCCAAACCCTATGAATAAAAACAATAAACCAAAAGGAAAATACTCCAAACCTCAAACATGTAGAATAAATATCTCATCTCAATTACACTTGGGTAGACAGCTCTAACATAAGAGGGATCTCATCCAGAACAAAAAAAAAAATCAATCATAAGCCATGTCATGTAAGCCACGATCTTAAAGAAAATACCCTACTCACGGGAAACCAATATGAAAGCAAAATACGACAAATAATACTTACATGTGTGCATCTCCTTATGCAATAGTGATACTTTTGTAATATTATTACTCAACCGCTCTGCGACAATAGGTTTTATCTCCCTATCCCGGAATACAGTAAATTGACAATACTTTTGTAATACTCTTACTCAATCGCCATGCGGAAATAGGTCTTATCTTTCTATTCCGGAATACAATAGAATGAAGATACTTTTGTAATACTCTTACTTAATCGCCCTGCGGAAAATAGGTTTTATCTTCATATTTCGGAATACAATGAAATATGCTATGCTCTTCATATTTATCAAATTAAATTAGGACAAAAAAATATGTTGACACCACATATTCTAAACATACGTGCACATATCTCGGTGTGCGTGTCCATAACTGGTGTTCACTGACATCTCATGTGTTATACAACTTATAAACATTGAATCATAACAGTACAAGGTCGAAAGACTAGCTCGAAAACTCAACAATCGAACAAAACATGCACAGAACCACTGACTGTGTGGCAGTCGACCGCAAAAGAACGATGGTCGACCACGACGGGTTCCAGAGCCTACTCAGGCCTCTGTCCTACACGCGGTCGCCCGCCGCTATGGCGCGGTCGACCGTGGGCTGATATTCCAGATTCTTAATCTGGTTGTGTGTGTCGTGTTCACGCCGTGTTTAGGTGATTCAAACATGATTAAAACAACATGAAACTTGCATGAGAGCATGTCTACAGTAGATAAAAACTTCTGGAAACAAACTCAACATATATAGCATGATTATTTGCATAAAATTTATATTCAAAATCCTAAGTCATGCATAAAAACTTGAAA